ATATACAAATGAAATGAAATAAACAGTGCTGTCATTTTTCCATGAAGTTCTACTAACATTACTTTTCAGGTAAGTAATAGCCTACAAAAGAAATCTAACAGTAATCAAATGTAAATGAACACTGCATAGTTTTCATTGTATGTATTGATAGATTAATGCTTATTAAAGCTATAACGTTATTCAGATTAAGAGCAGATTTGCATTTTGATGGCCCAAGCGCCAGTCTGTCACTTTAAGACAATATATTGACACACATCGGATTTTCTCCCAACTGTTCTCCTCCACTTAAGACATAAACTGTGTTTAAGTAAATACTCTCCAAGCCGGCCATTTGGACATATTTTGTGTGTATTTGATCGTTTGAACATGCGCCCGAAGCTCAAAGTGTAATTGGTTTGTCCGTTTTGGAGTGCGCCGTGCGCACACATTTCAGCCTGAGGAACACCGTCTCTTGTGCTGATTGTACTTTCAATGTTTTATCAAACATGTCCCGCAATTTAGCAACCGTAAAGACGGCATCTTACAACAATCACAGATTGAGCTGATTCTGACGTTAAGTTTGGGTTTTAGGGAGGAACGAATGCGCACCGCTGTGAAGGGAAAGAAGTTGCGCAATACGAAACGCAGCTAGTTTTTAATAGCTTTACCTCATGTCTTCTTTTGTATAATCCTTCGAAGCCAAAATCGAAATAAAATTAGCTTAATAAAACAGCCACAGGCATAAAGTGTAAGCAGAAGTTTGAATGTTTAGTTCTCTCTTCTATCATAATTAAACAGGGCTTTCAGGTTGCGCGTGCTGAAACTCCTCCACGGTGGGCGCGATCTCGCTTCTGAATTACGAATAGCAAAAATGCATCATAAACAAATGTTTGAAAAACTGCTGGCGACTCTGGTGAGAGAGAATTTGCAAGATAATGTGTATATATAGCAATAATAAATGTATGTGTTTTATTAATTTTTCCAGTACCGATAGCAGAACCGTTAACATCAGAGCTTATCGATACTCCGGTCTTTCATAATTTAGCCCCGGTACCGATTAAATACAGAGTTTCGGTACCAATCCCTAATAATGTCAAATAGAACTTTCTCTCTACTTTTCCTGTCTCAACATTCTAAAAAGGTTCCTCTAGTTTAAAAGCACTTTTCTTATCTGGTGGTCTGTCTTTTAGTAAAATATTGTCTTGAATTATATGTGACTTGGATATTAACTCTTGTGTGTAAAAAAAAAAAAAAAAGTCTGACTTTGCTCTATGTAATGTTTCTCTCCAATGTCTTCAGATAAAAATGCAAGTTTCACTGCTGGACATAAGCACGTGCTGGTTGACACCAGCCATCCCACAGATCTACTGAAGAAGGAAATGAATTTGGAAATGGCTGTAAACGTTTTATCATAGAGAGGAAATGCTGTACTTCTGTGCGTGTAATACAATTGATGTGCTCACAAGCTCTGCTGTCACAGTCTAGCGTCCCGAGTCCTCCCCCACGGCCAATGAGAGCCGCTTCACTCCGCTGCCCTTACAAATAGACCCCATTGATTGAATCTGATTCCTGTGGATAGAGCAGGATTATTGAGCGGCCCTCCCTGATGTCTCACACCCAGAGTGTGTGTGTGTGTGTGTGTGTGTGTGGAAACGTTCTCTCTGTGTCAGCTTTTGTTGCTTAAATCAGAGGGACGTCTCCCCTGAGTCTCCCCCATCTGATGACACACAACTCTCTGGAATTGCCGCACTTCCTTTATTACCTTCCTCCCTCTCTTGCCTAGGAATAATCTATGCATTTTTTTTACAAACATCCTGAGAATGCTTCTAGCCCAGGAGAAAGAAGCAAAGAAATCGGGTGTTATAAAACAGAAAGAATTTAAAAAATCCGGCCTGACCTCAAACAGAAATGTCCACTCTACGGTGACTGAGAAGCAGCGTCATCAGCCCTCAAAGGAAGTCTGTGCTCCACTAACCCCAGTGTCATTGCAGGCCTGTGGGAAGTTACTCTTAGTGACCAGAGGCACTGCAGCCTCATTAAATACCCTGCAGAATGAGCCAGAAACAAAGTCTTCATTTGTGGGATGAGAGAAAATCGACTCCATCTGCTTTCATGGCCACCACTGAGATGTTGTTATTTGGATTTAGAGCTGTGCCAACCACACAAAGTCCTGCTCAGCAGAAATGAGAGTGTGATAGTTTATGGTGTGTTGGGGCTTTTTCGAGTCATTTATCCTCTGCCTCACCCTCTTAGAGGAATTTATAGGCACAACTGCCCCAGACCTTGATTTCCTTCCTTGCACTGACCCTCTACTTTAATCTGCTCTAATACAAGGAGCTGATGCTTTTGTTTTGTTACAAGTTATTATGGATAATGGTTTTGTTTTTCCCGTTGTAATGGGTTATATAACGATAGATGAGGTGATCACATTCTCTTCTGCTTCTTGATTCCTCCTTTTTTCTGTTTTTAATCAAATATAGTAACTAAATCTCCATCTAAAAAGTAACTATTCTAAAGCTCTGTCTTTATTTTTCGCTAAAATAACGAAGGAGTGGCTTCACAACAACTCTGTGACTGTTCTTGAGTGGCCCAGCCAGAGCCCTGACTTAAACCCAATTGAGCATCTCTGGAGCGACCTAAAAATGGCTGTCCACCAACGTTTACCATCCAACCTGACAGAACTGGAGAGGATCTGCAAGGAGGAATGGCAGAGGAGCCCCAAATCCAGGTGTGAAAAACTTGTTGCATCTTTCCCAAAAAGACTCATGGCTGTATTAGATCAAAAGGGTGCTTCTACTAAATACTGAGCAAAGGGTCTGAATACCATGAAGACCATGTGATATTTCAGTTTTTCTTTTTTAATAAATCTGCCAAAATTTCAACAATTCTGTGTTTTTCTGTCAATATGGGGTGCTGTGTGTACATTGAGGAAAAAAAATAACTTAAATGATTTTAGCAAATGGCTGCAATATAACAAAGAGTGAAAAATTTAAGGGGGTCTGAATACTTTCCGTACCCACTGTATATGTACCAAATCTCTTGGCGGTCGTTTTAAGATTTGCAGCAGAGGGGAAGATTTCCAGGAAATGGCATACATTAAATAGGTTAAAAGACGGCTTGAAGCAAACATTTTGATCATCTTTTCTTCCATATTGTGAAAGTATATCTGAGTAAAACATCTTGAAAAAAAAAAGTAGGGTGTGATTTTATTTTCTTGATCTTGTCTGCCTATTGGACAACCTTATTGTCCAGCCCTTGTGTCTGTATACACGATCATAGAACAGTTGTTGTTGCGAGGGCATGTTAATGTTTTTGATTAAAAGATTACTGGGGCACTTTTTTAATGTACATGGTTAAAATCATTTAGCTTAAACATTGCAGTATTTCATTAAAATAAGAAATGTCAGTTTTGATTTCATGGTGATTTTTTTTTTTTTCCTTTTCGGAGCTTGACAGTCCCCATTTACATTGAATGGAAAAGAGTAGCCAAGATATCTCCTGTTATCTCCTTTTATTTGATGTCAAGTCAGTCATACTATCCTAGAAGTGAATGACACAAATTTCTACCTCCACAGAATATTTCATGAATCAGTCTCACCTTTTTTGAGCTTAACATATCAGTGTGGCCAGTGAAATGCTTGAGCAGGAAACCCTGGACATATCTTTGCCCTTGGTGAGTGGCTGACTCCTTGTCACTTCAGACAGTATTAGAGCAGCTATGCCGAAACTGAGATCGACTGACCAGAATAAGAGTGAAGAGATCATCATTTGTAAGGCATAGGAAGGATGTGCTGCTCGGTCATTGGAAACTCTGTGCGGTCATGTGTACACACTCACTGTGTATGGGGGGTGGGAGTTGGGTCTGAGTTGGTCTTGCAAAATTCACAAGACTAATCCCAGGTGACACTCGTGAAGGACAGATCTGATTTTCACCAGTCAGGCTCAGTAGTTGTTAAATGGACAAATGAAGAATGTTTTCCTGTCTCCGCGCTGCATTTGATTAGCCTGAGCCCATTTTCTTTTGTTCGGTCTTCACATGAGTGGTGTTATTGTAACAAGCTCATAGATGAATCTTCATTGGCTCTCCACAAGCTCCTCAAATGTGAAGTGTTCAAACAAAAGCTTCGCTTTCTAGAAGAGAATGTTTTTGTGTCTGTATTGATTTACTAAAGTGCTCAGGAATGGGTGAGTCATTCATGCGGAGGCATCCGTAGCTTCAGTGCAGTTTTTGTTTTTTCTGATTGAGGAAATTACTCAGGGTTTCTCTCAGCTTTTGAGTCATGTAGATATGTAGAGTTGTACTAATCTAGAACTGTGTTATTTCTGCAGTCAAAGTCCCTTAAAGGCAACTCTCACAATACCACTCAAATATGGTGTGTCAAAGTAGTTTGTCCTTTGATGTGTGCTCTCCTAAGGAAACTCTGAAACACCATGAAAAGTTAAAGGTGTCCCAGCCCTCCAATGTGTCTGTTGCTTGATGTGTAAATCTGAATTGAGCTGGTTTCTACTCCCTCTTTCTCTCTCCTCCTCTCTGCAGTTGGAAATACAAGTCCCTTAGTGCTTTTTTTTAATTTTTTTTTTAAGTTGCTCTGCGTTTGAGAGATCTCATGTTTGGTTTACTCTTTTACTCGTTCTTAGTAATTGAAAATATGCATCTGTCTCTAGGTCTAGAAGCACTAGGCTTCTAGTTCCTGCTAAGAGTAGATATTTATTAATATGTTCTACTCCAGCACTTTGTGTTTATTAATTTAAATAATTTTCGTTATATTTATAGAAATTTTGCATATGTCCCATTTAATAGAATTAAATTTAATGAGATTTTTCTGCTGGTTTATTTGCTTTTTATGAATCGCACTTTTTAAAATTGCATTCCTTTTTTAAATTGTATTTTATTTTTATTTTATTCACTGCTTTTTTTTGTTATTGAAACCAGATTGTCCCCATTTTCAGAATGAATCCTGATTGGTGATTGGTTGTGTGAGTAATGAAGTTCTCTCTGATTGATCTTTTTCTTTCCGTAGGCAGAAGGAGAAGATAATCTGAAGAAGATGCAGCTTATGGAGCTGGCCATTCTGAACGGAACATACAGAGACACCAACATCAAAATGCGTAAGGAGACACATTCACACGTCAACAGCTAGACGCTTGGGAACTTTATATAAACAAACTCTCCAGAATAAATAGACTTGAACATCAGCATATCCACAATGCAGTCATAAAACTAACTATTAGGGAATAATGTGAGTTCAGCTGTGATTGTATTGCATAGTGACTAAAGAGATCGGTTTAAATGCTTACACACAAAATCACACCCATATTTGTTAGGACGCAGAGTTTACACACACAATATCAAATCACAACCAGCCATAATCCATCTCTTATATCCATCCTTAATCCACATGTAAATGCACATACATACACATACAGTGATGTTGTTTTCTATGCTGACTTGGTCTGACCATAAATGAGCAATTAAAAAAAAAACATTGTGCACATGAGAGTTCATCAGACATAAGGTGCTTGTTTTAATTCAAGTCCTGTTCACTGCACACTCCTCTTGAAAACATCTAATCATCTGCCCACAGTCTAGTATTTCTGTCTCTCTTTAATCCCTCCGTCTCTCCCTCTCTCTTTTTCTCCTTCTCCCTCCTCTCTCCCACCTCCTTTCAAAGCTGTTCCAATTGCAATCACAGCTTGCGTAATCTTGGTGTGGCACACAGAATAATTTTGCTGCATGATTGTGTGTTTTAGGTTGTCTTTAGGTCATAAACTTGTATTATTGCTCAAACATATTTGCATATGATTCAGCCCGTGTCATACATATTCATTAATGCAATGCATTTTCACATTGACATGAAGGGTTTTGGGCTTTTATACTGCTCTGTAAAGTAATATTTGCATGACTGTATTTATGATTGTATGGATTTATGAATGTGTGCATGCATATTTGGGTATATATGACAGGGACATCTTTTTGGAAGAAACACATCTGTTTGGCTTTAGTGCAGAATGTTCACAAGCATTTTAATTTTCAGCCCTGTTGCGGTTATTTCCCCTCCACATCTGCACTAAATGTCCCAGTGGCATGTAGAGGTTTTTGATTCATGTGGGAAAGCTTATGGCAAGTTAGTGGAATCAATTCTAGAGAGCGCACTTTAGATTTACAGCCATAAGAAACAACATGAGCATATTTTAGCACACAAACTGAAGTGCTGTTTCCTCTACATGCCACAGGACATTGAGTTTAGATGTGCTGCTTTAAATCAGTTACTCTGTGTTGTGTATTAGTGCCTCTGTATCGATGATCGGTTTGCCCTGGTATGATCAATCATCAGTTCCTCCTTGTGTTTTTTAGTTTTGATTCATTTTTGTAATGATTTTGGTTGTGGGGTTTTAGTTTTTGCTTTAGAGTGTAATTTTTTGTGGTTCATTGACCATTGCATGGACTAATTTTCCTTTATTTTTTCCCCCACCCTCTTTTTCCCTCTTTTCGTGTACTTCTGTTTTCCTTTCCCTGCCTGTGCTTTTCACACATCTGTTTTTGTGCCTTCTGTCCAATTCTATATTCCCCTTCTACTCTGAAAAATATATACACCTTCACACACACACACACAACCTCCTCCTATCGCTCTATCTCTCCCATTACTTTTCTCTCTGTGTCTTGTTCTCTTCCTTTCACTCTTTCTGTCTTTCACTCTTCTGTTTACGGCAGCCACCCTTGCGTTCTCTCTTGCAGCAGCGGCAGCAGCTGCTCAAGGTCAGCGTCTGATCGCGGCTCCTGCAGGTCAGGTCCTCCCCCCAGCTGCCCTCAGGCCCCCCACTCCGGCAGGGACCCCCATCATGAACATCATTCGGCCCACTCAGATGGCCACCATGCTACCCAATGGCACCCCTACCCTGGTGCCCCCAACGCCCGATGCGGGCATTATCTACACCACGCCCTACGACTACCCTTATGCCTTGGCACCCACGTCTCTGCTGGAATATCCTATTGAGCACAGCGGAGTCCTAGGTAAGCGGGCGTGGGGGCTTGGGACTTCACTCTTCGGTGCCCCACAAGAGGGTACTGTCGGGGTGTTTTACAGGGGCTTGTTGGATGGGTCGTCATCCGGCCCAATTCAGGACTCACTGAAAGGTAAATATATAATGACTAGCTCGTGCTAGCAGGGTGGGTAACCCAGGTGATTAAAGTCATAGCTACATAGAAAAAACATTTGCCACTGAGACGGGTTGGGAAAGGGAACACTTATCTGTGTCTTAAACGAGGTGTATTCATCTCTGAGTTTTTTTTTTTTTTTTTTGCTGCTGTGTAAGAACTCTTTTCTCAGGACACACGCACACACTCACTCTCGCAGACAGTGGCGACATGCTTGCTTGCACACATCTTTTTTTTTTCTTCTTTTTTTTCCCTCCCTCCCTCTCTCTCTCTCTCTCTCTCTCTCTCTCTCTCTCTCTCTCTCTCTCTCTCTCTCTCTCTCTCTCTCTTTTGCCGGAGGCTTTGTCAGGCAGGCTACTGGTGGATCCCCTCGGATTTCTCCTGGCTTTTGAAATCATTTCTCTCTTCCCTGCTGTAGCAGGCCTTGGTACCAGTGCCGAGCGGCACGGAGAGAGAAAGAGCCCAGAGTCCCATTGGGGATGTTCATTAAATTCTTCCACTATTCTCACTGTATCCTATTGTCTTATTTTTACCCTTGTGAACTTGAGTGCTCAACCCTATTCAGAGAGAATTGCCCATACTCCCCTGCCTAGTGAGGCTTCTGCAAACACTCGTGAAGAAGATAGATAATAACCACAACATCATCTTTTACAGACTCGACACTTCATCAAAGCAATGTAAACATTTAGAAATCAAGTAGAGATGGCGATCAATAGCATGAAGTCATGTGTACCAGCAGTCCGAATACTGCGCTTGAATAGCTTTGGTTAGTGCTCATCTTTGATTCGATGGAGGGATTTCTGAGTTCAGTTCACTGGATGCTGTACAGTTGGCATGTTTGGGTCTTCTGCTGTTCTGACAGTGCCGCGTTTCCACTTTTAAACTTAAACGCTCACAAGCTTGGCAGCCTTTTATTTACTTACAGTATCGATCCAACATCAAACCTCCTCCAGACCAGACCATGTTCTCTCTCACTCTCTCCCTTTCTCTTGCTCGCTGGGCATCAGTGCAATCAGAAGTGATTTGTTGGACATCTGCCGTGTTTCAGCATAGCATGTGGGTGTATACGCGCACACAGTTAGAGGGAACCATTAGCACTTCCAGAATTTCTCCAGAGGAGAGTAAAAACATTTGTGCTTCGCAACTATTCTGTGATGTCATTGTGATTTGGTATAGTCGTCACACCTTGGCAGGCCCACATGGAGCTCTGCATAGTCGTGCAGAATTTAAATGCCTGTCATTGTAAAACGGTGTAGCACAGCCCCATCTTCTTGGGTGTTTAAATAATTTGGTTCAGCTACCAGTAACAACTTTCAGTTGTGTTTAACTCATTTTCCCTCATTTGTGCTTAAAGGGGTCATATGATGCGTTTTCAATTTTTCCTTTCTCTTTGGAGTGTTACAAGCTCTTGGTGCATAAAAAGATCTGTAAAGTTGCAAAGACTAAAGTCTCAAATCCAAAGAGATATTCTTTATAAAAGTTCAGAGTCAGCCACACCTACCTAAAACGGCTCGTTCTAACACGCCCCCACATATCTACCTCACTATGTGGGAAGATTTGCATAACGCCGCCCAAATGTTCACGCAAAGAAAGAAGGCGTAACTTTTAGTCTCACTGTAGTTTTGTTGACGCTGCAGCCATGTCGTGAAAAAGCTGTGTGCTTCGTTGTGAAAGCAAAACTACTTTGTTTGGTCTTCCAAAAGAGGATCATATCCGCTTCATCATGCCTAGAGCTGATCTGTGCTGGTCGCTGAGGGAATACATCAACTTTCACCGTGGACGAAGCGGAATCTAGCCCGGGGTCCGTCATATGTGACGCAATGCGTAAAAAGTCATTATAATCAGAAATTATGTCCCCACTGGATGCAACAAGTGCCTCGTTTGTAATGGGTTTTAATGTTTTGTTTTAATTGTCAGATTGTTTAAATAATTAAATTTTTTTTTTTTTTTCAGTGAACATGTCTACTTACTGTATATAATGACACTGCATTGTCAGAAACCATACCATAAAAATAAGAGAAGTTGTAGAAGTTTAATTTTGTTGTCAATCACAACAGTATGGATAAAGTCTTTAAGTTTTTTTTAAAGAAGTGTTTTTGTTCCCCCCCCCCCCCCCCCCAAAAATAATGGGCACAAAAAATGTGCCATGTCCACAGATTCTTCTCTGAACTTGCTCATAAAAATATTCAATATTTAAAATCACTTTTTTTGGAATGCCAATTAATATTTTGTGTTAGTTTTTGTATTGTATTTTGTATAGTTTGAAATCTTTTGTTGATTGGGAGACTAAAATATATATTCCTTCACCAATCCGTCTTAAGGTCTGTCCATGCCAAGAGCGAAACAAAATGTAACTGTGGCAATTCACATACTTTAATGTTAACATCAATTTTGTTTCTATACAAAATTATCTTACTTTAATGCAAAATGCAACCCATCACATTTCTTTCACTTTAAAGCAATATAACTAAGGCTGGGTAAAAAAATAATATCTCGATTATAAAAAAAAAATATCGATTTTAATCGATTCTCATTTTTACGAAACTATATCGATTCTTAAATCCCAAGAATCGGTTATTCCTGTTTTCAGTTAATGGACGGAACATTGAAGGGCACCTCCCATCCAATATATCGCAATAAGCATTGTGCTTTGGTCCTATTAATATGAAACAAAGTCTCAGATTTCAAATTCTGTCTGTTATATTGCAAAATTAAAACAATGCCATTTTGGCGTTGTTTAATGTGGCGTGACAGATCGCTGTAGCACCTCGATCAACAGACGCGGCAGCGCGAGGCGCACGTGAACTGATCATCTCCTCTGCATTAATACCAGTTTCAGTGCAAAATTAACTTGACTAAACATCCTACGGTAAGTTAAAAGAAAGTACAACTTTATAATCCGTATCCTGTCTCACATAATCGCTCAATAAGTGTTTCAGCCACTCAAAGACGTCAATATAACGGCTTGTAAACAACGTCACGTAATGCACATTTACCTCAGGAAAAAAACATATTCGGTGACCATAATCTCATTAGTCAGCTAGAAAATTAAACTGTAGAGAGGGGCATTTTGCTAAATATATGCACCATGGAAATGTATTATAATTTTTACTTTTCTTCAATGTTTAAGTTATTTTTTATTACAGCCACCATTTAAATGTTAAAAAAGCGAATTGAAGTAGAACTATTATGTAATTGTAACTTTTATTATAAAAACTTCATTAAGTGTATTTTAAGCAGTTGTATAGCTTAAAAAATAATTTAGTTTTAACCTTCAATATTATAGTAATGTAGTACCAACTGACTCTCATGTATATGTTACAGCATTGGTTAAGATAATAGTTTTTTCTTAAGAAAATTTGGCATGTGTACCTGCTGCAATATAACAAAGAGTGAAAAATGTAAGGGGGTCTGAATACTTTCCGTACCCACTGTATATCCAAAATAATCGATATTGAATCAAATCGAATCAAATTGGGAATCGAATCGAATCATAAGCTTGTGAATTCAAATTGAATTGTGAAATTTGTATCAAAACCCAGCCCTAAATATAACCTTCAAAGTAATAACCTTAAAATTCTACACCACATTCACTTACCAGTGAAATCTGTTTTATTATTTGGGTTGCATTGTAAACATGATGCTAATGATAATACAACTGATAGTGAAAGTTCTGTTGAAATTAATGCTTTGACATAGGAATATAGCACCGTATAATAACCAAGGTGTACTGTTGGTTCAAAGAAATACAATCTTTATTCATGTGTGCGTATGCATACAATTTATAGAGGAATTTTGCTCTTGGTGTTTAATAGACCTTCACTATGGAACCAATAACTAGTCCGCCATCAACAGTTATTTCAAATCTATTTGTTCTGTGTGTTACATTTGAGATTGACCAAGGAGAAAATGTAAGTTAATAAATTTTATTGTCAACATGCTTAGAATTTGCAGTCTATTCTAGTTTTTCCACTTATTTCACATGAATTCTTGTGAGCAGAGAACGTTTGTATTTTAGACTGCTGAAATTTAGCTAGCATGAGCCAGGTGCTGTCGTACAGTAATCACGGTGTCAAAACTTGATTACAATTTGCTATCATATGACACTGCTTCCACTAAAGTAATTTTTTTTGCTTAAAACATACCTTTGTTTAGTGTGTGTTTGTTTGTTTTTTTTGTTTTTTTTGTTTTTTTTTCTACCCGTAATTCCTTGCCCACCCGTCTCAAATCTTAGTATCTTGTGAATTACTATGTAATTTTAAGTTGTAAGTTATACATTTATTAAATTCTGGGTTTTTTTGTATGCATTTATTACTCTTGGTTTTTTTTTTTTTTTTATAAATTTTCTACTGTGTGTGTTGATATTGTGAATATGTATTATATGTAGAAACATTATATGCATACATTTAAATATAGATGAGATTTCATGTAAAGCCTGTTTCACAGCTAACCGGTTCAAATTGAGATTCATTTTGAATGGATCTCTTAAATAAAAGGTCAAAATCAGATGTGCTCTGTATTTTTCTGGTTTCTAGAGTTCTGCTGCGGCATTATGTGGTCTAGCTGTGGTCCACAGGCTTTACATACGTTTTTCTCCTGGGCTAAACCATGTCTAACCTTATGGACCTGTTGTAATCTAGGTGCAATGGCTACTAAAGTGCGGAGACATGATTCACGGGTCCATCCTTACCAAAGGATAGTGACCACAGACAGAGGTTAGTTAGATAAGATACTTCTACCTTTTTTTTAATTATTATTCTTTGTGTTTCTTTATCTCTGAACGGGGGATCATACATGTGTTTATACACTGCGTATCTTTACTGTGGAAATGTTTACATATGAAATGCCTCTGGAAACACTCAGGTTTGCAGAAATTTGAGACTGTAACTGAATTAAATGCCATTTGTTTCATAGCTTTATATAAATCAGTGCATTTCTTAACTACGTCTAGATCCCAAAAAATAGATTGGAATTTTTGTGTGTTGCTTTTTTTATTTGTGTAAATCATTTTAAAGTACAAAGGGACTGGAATAAGCTTCCATTGCCAGCAAAGCCATTGGCTTTTGTGCTTAAGCTATTACCTCAATATATATACTTTTTTTAAATCTCAGGTTAAGCTCATCGGATTTAGTTTGTTCATCTCTTTAAATGTAAAAATGTATTTCACACCCAGTTATACTTTAGTAATACTGAAGGTACTATTTTTTAGAGCAGATGTATTTTTGGATCTTGTGTATACGTTCACTGAAAAATAAAGAAAAATAATCCAAAGCGATATTTCGCAACCTTTATCTGTTTATTTACGTAACGTAGCACTAGCTCTCTGATTCCCCCTCACAACTAATTACACTGTTCGTAACATGCATCTCGACTCAAGACACTAAAATGTTACTAGTTTTTGTTTGTATGTTTTTCTCGTTTGTCTACGTGTTGTATCTCTCTGCTTTTGTTTGTGGGGACATGGGGCATTTTAGCGCTTTAATTACATGTAATAACGTTCTGATTGAACTGATCATGACGTTATTGTGTCATGATCATAACCAGGTTTAGCCTGTGTTTGTCTCTTGACCGTGGAATTAGGGGGTTAAACAAAGATTGCATTCATTTTGCTGTTAAAATGATGTCATTCCAGTCTCTTCTTGCTAACTAATATCTTTTCTACCTTTTTTTTTCCTTTTTGTTGTTTTCATTTTTGTTCCTAACCACCTAGCCGCCACCGGCAACTAACAAATGACCTCTGAACTCTGAACTCTTCACCCAATGATGAGCCGCCCGAGCCTGCCTGCTGTTCAGATTAACTGGTAATTGCCTTTTGCTAGCCTGGTGGACGCAGAGAGAGAGGCACCTGTCCGAGCAGTGATCCTAACATAAACCAACATAAAACACAACAACCCTCCATACCAACAAGTTGTGTAGTGATAACAACGATGATACTCTTTATAATTTTTTATTATTATTGTTTCTTTCTTTTTCTTTTTAAATCTCAAATGACTGGGTGAATGTTAACAGTGATGTTGCGTTACCCGAAAATCTGCACTGAAGTTTAAAAGCAATAAAGAAGCGTCTTCTGCTAATTCAGCCCTTAAATGCATTTATACTCAAAATAAATGTAAAAAAAAAAAAGAAAGAAAGAAATAGCAAGCTTGGTGACCCTAGTTTAATCAGTCATAACGCTAAACAGGGCATCAGCATTCAGATTATGTCTATACGCTACCCCACACCTATTTAAATGATCACTATAAATCAGCAAAAGAAAAAGAAGGAAAGAAATCTGCAATCACACCAACTTGTGTATTTCCTGTCCTTCTCTGACTGTGTTTTTCAGTTGATGAGTTTTACTGTGCTGACACATTCTGGGTGTGCCTGTCCAGCTGACTTAGAGCATGGCTACAATGACAGACTGCACAAAGCTTGTTTTGATTTCTTTCTGTTACTTCTCCCTATTTGGTTTCTTATGTTTCCATGCATCTTATTAGCGTTTGGCAATACTTGCAGGTTTATACGTGCTGCTCATTGCAGAATCTTTGCCAGCTCAGTAGGGGGCAGTAGGCAGAGTCAGGCAGGGCAAGAGATTGGGGTGAAGTGTTTTTGGAGTCTTCAGGATATTCAGGGTTGGACAGCTGGGATATGAACCGGAATCAGTTTACTGAACTATGCCATCCCAAAAACTCTCAACCCCTCCCCACATATAGTGCCTAAACTTTCTACAATTCTTTCTTTGAATGAGCTGTGAGATTAAAGACAAAAAAAATAAAAATAAGTATTGTGTGCGCATTTAGCCAAAGGGTTTCAATTTAATGAATTTCATATATATAGGAGTATGTATCTAACCGCCAAGGGTTCTGTCATTTTAGAGTTTGAAAAGGTTTGATGTCATGCCTGTATCTGTTTGTTTTAATAGCAAATCAAAAGATGAATGAAATGGTGATTAATTGTCCCACAAGACGCTAATTTCCTTGAGGATGTATAAAAGCAATGAACACTAAGGAAGATGAATGAGGTAGACAGAACGGGGGAGGGTTTAACCTCACTGCTGTATGTACACAGTTTTCTTTTTGTTTGTTGATTTTTCTAAATGTTTTTATTTTTTCCAAATTTCTCTTCCCCCCCCGTCCCACCTTCCAAAAATGAATTCAACTGAGCTGAAACTAAATGCAGGTGTTCTTGCCTTCATGAATTGCAAGTTATTTAGATTTGTTTCAAAGACCCGTATTAAATAGCCCATCCACAATGTGTCCTGCACACCCCCAGCTACTGAGCCCACTCTCAATTCTAGACACCCTCTCAAAAAAACATAGGATGTGAAAGCCATGTCTGCCTGTTCTAATTGCTTTATACATACATGATATATATATATAAAATGTATACAAATGTAGATATGTCATTGCTTATTAAAATACTGAAAGATCAAAATTAGATACTTTTACAGGGTGCTGGAGAAGAAATATATATTTTTGGCAATTTTAGCTTTTTATACTTAACTTGCAGTTACAAAATATGAAACATAATACAAAAAAAACGATAAAAACGTTTGTAGAATAGTACAGCGAAAGGTGGTAAAGAAATATTGAGTGACTTTGGATACTATTGGCCAGGGGGGGAAAAAACAGACCAAAATAGTCAAACCTTGGAATGTTAGAGGAATTGCATGACGTGAGAGGAGAAGAGTACAGTTAGAGAGATAAGTGCCTTAGTTACTGATGGTCGTTTCTTTTTCCGAGTGTTACTTTCTGTTCAATAATATCCAGCACCAACTAGGATAGCGCAGAGCGAGGGAGGGTTTGTGAAGAGGAAGCACCCCAAGAGTTAAACCACGAGGCTGTTGCAGTGTTGTGCCACTGAATCTATTCTATGCAAAGGAATAGCAGTCATTTGACCAGCTAACAATGTGCCATGATTCGTCTTCCCAAAATTGAGTTGAAGTCTTGTTGTTTTTCCTTTAATCCCCATTTGAACAAAGTGTTTATTTTCTCTTTATTATTCTTATATTATGAGGACAAAATCAGCAATGCTGTCTATGTATTTGGTTACTGTGATTTTTGTCAAGAACTGCCAATCATGATGTGGAAGTCTGCCAGGTGTTTTAGAAGGGAGATTTCAAATGAATTGGACTTCACCTGAAACCTCCTCTTGTTTCAAGATTTGCAAACTGGAAGCTTTCAATCATATTTGCCCTAACATACTCTATTTTATGCCAAGGAAGTGTTTTTGCTTTTTGTTTTAAAAGACTGGAAGATAGAAGGGAAGAAGGAAAACGTATTCCGCTTACTTTGGGAAAGCCTTTTTGGTGTTTCACAAAGGATAGATGTAGCTTTACAGTGCACTGATCTGAAAGAAGCAAGTAATGTGTGGAGAAGGAAAATATAGCATTTACTCAAAGTATTACTGAGAGGAAGGTCACTGGGATATTCATCTGCTGCCACATCAGTGCCAAACCCGAACAGTCACAGAAGAGCCAGAGTATCAAATCACACGCTAAAGATCAGATCCGCCCCGAGCAGTTTTCAGTCGTTGAAACAACCGGAGGTGTTCATCACATTGAATAAGATTACAACTTTGTGTCCTGTAACCCTGGCAGTCTCTAATGTAGTCTTGTTCACTTTTGTTACAAAAAAAAAAGGTCAATGTCTTTTTTTTTTTCCTCTTCTCAGTGTTAAATACATGTTTTTTTTAAACATATTCAAATAATGAAATGCAATATTAGAGAGGAGCAAAGACCGACTACAGAGAAATGGACAGTATTAAACGAATCCCCTCTGCCATGTTACTACGTGCTGTTAATGTTTTGGAGTTGGGTTTAGTCTATCAGGTGTATTGAGAAATCTCCTGTGTTCTCTTCCGCCTGCCTACTACATGTGTAATAATGTCAATTACAGCCATTGTTACAGGTTTCTAATGTATTTTTCTAACTTCATTTTCTATGTACAAGTCTTTTTTTCTGATGAAACCCACTACATCTTTATTTTTTTCATGTCCTCTCTCCTCCTCCGCCCTCCCTCTCAACCCACTCTTTACTCAGATCTGTCTCTCATTGGGAGCGTTGCCTTTTCCTACAGTTATTTTGTTTTCTTGCTGATTCTTTAGCTTGTTTAACTCATTAGCAACTTATTAGTTCTTGTCATAGGTATTTTTACATGCTTGCATTTAGTTTTTATGGTGTATGCTGTTATTTTTTTTCTTATTAACCTCCTTGGCATTTATTTTAATAAACATTCTTAGTAAGAATTTTACTAACTTTGCTGATATTATTTTGTGGTGTTCTTTTTTTTTTAACCAGTTTAATGAATTACTACCTTGGTCTGGTTCACGGACTAACATGATTAAATCTGGTGTGTGAGCACCCTCACAGTTTCTCACACACTCAAACAGATGCATTTCTCAGAGGTCCATGCACATTTACAGTTCACACACAAACACACACACGTCCACGCAGTCTAACAGGTAAATGTGCACGAGACAATCCGTCCTTCACTCCGCTCCTGCACTTTCATCTTTGTCGCTGTAGAAGTCTACCCAAGCGTGTGCTGCCATGCCTTGTCTGCCTCACTGTTCACGCAGTTTAATGGTGCTACTGGTGTTTCCTTTGTTTTGTTTTTTTGGAAATACCGCTGCTCTCTCTAGAACTGCATGTAATTGGGAGTTAGATCTCTAGAGTTAAAGCACAACTTTTTCTGTTACAAAACCCAATAACAGGAAATATTTTGTCCATCCACACCCACTCTTTACTCAGATCTGTCTCTCATTGGGAGCGTTGCCTTTTCCTACAGTTATTTTGTTTTCTTGCTGATTCTTTAGCTTGTTTAACTCATTAGCAACTTATTAGTTCTTGTCATAGGTATTTTTACATGCTTGCATTTAGTTTTTATGGTGTATGCTGTTATTTTTTTTCTTATTAACCTCCTTGGCATTTATTTTAATAAACATTCTTAGTAAGAATTTTACTAACTTTGCTGATATTATTTTGTGGTGTTCTTTTTTTTTTAACCAGTTTAATGAATTACTACCTTGGTCTGGTTCACGGACTAACATGATTAAATCTGGTGTGTGAGCACCCTCACAGTTTCTCACACACTCAAACAGATGCATTTCTCAGAGGTCCATGCACATTTACAGTTCACACACAAACACACACACGTCCACGCAGTCTAACAGGTAAATGTGCACGAGACAATCCGTCCTTCACTCCGCTCCTGCACTTTCATCTTTGTCGCTGTAGAAGTCTACCCAAGCGTGTGCTGCCATGCCTTGTCTGCCTCACTGTTCACGCAGTTTAATGGTGCTACTGGTGTTTCCTTTGTTTTGTTTTTTTGGAAATACCGCTGCTCTCTCTAGAACTGCATGTAATTGGGAGTTAGATCTCTAGAGTTAAAGCACAACTTTTTCTGTTACAAAACCCAAAAACAGGAAATATTTTGTCCCCCCCCCCCCCCCCCCCCCTCCCCTTTATTAGGCTCTAAAAATTGCTTTTTCTTTTTAAAATCCAGTAATAACCTCGTGAGCCTCAGGACTCGATGCATTTACTGCCACCATTGAAGGTATTTTGTTTTGGCATGTTAGTGCAAATGAATGTCCATCATGCCCAAAATTCTCTAGTGTATCTGATCTCAGCTCTGCTCCTTCATTCAGCTATCAGACTTCATATGTAGTGGGTCATGTGGAGTTTTTGAAGGTCGTTTGACCTGCAGAGGCATGGAGAGATGGCGTCTGCAAGGGCTGCGCTGCTTGCTTTCAGAGCATTTAAGTGGACGAAAGTACTAACAAACTAGTCTGCCCTTGTAGGAGCTGCTTGGGTTGCCGTGGAGACTAAAGGCACTGTACCAGATATTTAGGATAAGCAAAATTTGTTTTTCTTTTTATTTATGCAATATTTTCTGTGGGGAAATGTTTTGTAAACAACCCAAGCACAATGTGTATTCAAGGTTTATTTATTTATTTTGGTCCTAATCCTAAAATTTTCACCAATTTGAAATGCATTGCAACTGCACAAATAAAGGTTTTTTTTTTTTTTTTTTTTTTTTTTTTTATTCCCTTTTTACACCACTGGGTGTGGCTACAAAATGGAAACACTACATGAATTTTTTTTTGTCCTAATCCTACTTTTTTCACTAATTTGAAATGCATTGCAACTGCACAAATAAAAAGTGTTTGTTTTCTTTCTCTTTTTTTTTTGACCACCTTTATCCCACTGAATGAAGCTTCCGAATGGAAAACATGCATTATATGTTGACTGACTGAAGTTGTATTCATCTTCATTTTGAAGAGCAATGAACAAAGCCTTAATATTATATTAATAAAGGGAAGGTTTCTCAAGCAAAAATGTCCTCGGGGAATGTTTCCTAACGGGTCACAATCGCTAGCATCAAAGTCATTAAATAATTATTTTAATAATTCATAAATTGTTTGGGGTTTATAAAAGCATTTGGTCCAATAGCGTATGTGTGGAGAGCTGTAGCCCTTTTCTCAATGAACTGTAGAAGTAAAACCTAATGAATAAAATGCTTAAGAGCAAGAGTGTTTTCTTTGGATTTTTAAAGAGACCTTGTTGCTGAAATGTCCCACAAAACTCAGGTATATTGTATTAATAATGTTTTAAATATTTATTTGAAATTATCACTTCATATAATTTTTATATTGTGTATGAAAAAGTGTGAAGAGGACTTGTTATTCATGGCAAAAAAATAAATGATTTAGAAGGAGCTTTGTAATGTGTGCAATAAAGGGCGGTGTTTTCAATATGCTGCTGTTTGATCGCTGTAAGCTGAGATTGTTTTTAGACCATTTTTCACTGAGGACATCAGATCAACTCTGCAGTTTGAATTCGTGGCCTTGTGCTTAGGTAAGTTACATTCAATTAAAGAAATGGCAGTAAGTCTAAATGTCACAGGTTTGACTTAGATGGAGAATCGAGTCTGTATTTACTGGTATAAAATTAAACCGATTCTGTGAAGTCTGACCTGTAGGCCAGAAACTGATGAATGGTGTTATTTATGAACTCAATGCTTCGCTGACACCAATGAGACTCTAAAATGCAATCTTAAGATTCTCTTTTATATATACGTGACCCTGGACCACAAAACTTTAAGTCGCTGGGGTATATTTGTAGCAATAGCCAAAAATACATTGTATGGGTCACAATGATCGATTTTTCTTTAATGCCAAAAATCATTAGGATATTAAGTAAAGATCATGTTCCATGAAGATATGTAAATTTCCTACCGTAAATATACTAAAACTTCTTTTTTTTTATTGGTAATATGCATTGTTAAGAACTTCATTTGGACAATTTTAAAGGCGATTTTCTCAATATTTAGATTTTTTTTGTACCCTCAGATTCCTGATTTTCAAATAGTTGTATCTCGGCCTATATCCTATCCTAACAAACCATACATCAATGGAAAGCTTATTTATTCAGCTTTCAGATGATGTATAAATCTCAATTTCGAAAAATTGACATGATATATGTGGATATACTAAATATCAGACGTTTTTGTCACATAACACTTGCACCTTTTGGGTTTATCTACCTGACGTAGGCCTAATACATCTCTCTAGAGAATTTAATGGCAGTAACAGTATTACCACTGATCTGTCCTGCTGTAGCAGCACATGAATGCTCAAAAAAGGGAGTCTATGGATCAATAAATCAAGTTTAGAGTGGATCTTTCTTGCTCAAAGTATAGTATGTCTCTCAATCCATCGCCTTATGACTAGTCTCGGCTCGGGCACCCCGTGTCTCTCTTGCTCTCACCGAGAATTTTTTGAGTTTTGTATGAAGACGGAAGTCTTCTTGAAGTCTGGCCAGCAGAATTCAAGAAATCAAAAGAGTGTTTATAACTGGAGCAGCTGGCAGCTTTATCAAAGCAAGGAAGAGAGAGAGGAGGGGTGTCACAAGTAACAAATGATCCCAGTTCCTGCAGAATAAATCAGGAGCATTCATCAGGACACAGGTGTAGGTGTGTGTGTGTGTGTGTGTGTGTGAAGGAGAGAGAGATGCTCAGTTCTATGTGTTTTTGGCATCTCGTGGAGGTTGATGAATAGTGTCTTGTGCTTCAGGTCTCAATGAGCAGCTGGTGTGTAAGAACTTTCTACCGTTCCAAATCCTGTCTATTAAGAGAAAGAACATACTATTGCTTTTGCTGTCATTTGCATTTTCATTAATGCATTGATCACCTCATAATAGTCTGTCAGAATCAAAATATCACAAATAATTACAGATACCACTTAACCTTGTTTATTTCGAATTGGGGTCAGGCTGCGAGAATGCTGCTAAAAAAAACAATGACAAAAGCACATTAAAATGATAATTAAAAGCTAAAAGGAAAAGCTCGTTCAAAATATTAATACTATAATAGTTTATAATTATGGCTAAAACAAAAAAAAGTGTCAAAACATACAGGTGAGTACATTTTCATTGTTCTTATTTTCTTTCTTTTTTTGTTTAATAAATTTGCTCCATGTCCTGATTCTACTTTATGCTGCTTTAATAACCAATACCAGGGTAAAATAACAGGGAATTTACACATGGAATGTATTAATTTGATTCATCAGAGGCCTTTATCTATAAGCCTATATGTACACACAAAACTGGTAATATTAATCAAACAATATATTGAAATATTGTGTTTGTTTGTTTTTTTCATATTGCAGTTCATATAGCATTTAGAGTCAGTAGACTTGGAGTGTGATTACTGACATGTAGTCATTTAGTTTCTGAAAGTGTGAAGAGTACGGCTGAATGATTGACACAAGAACTGGCTGTTGTGGGATGTTTCAAAGTACTAAAAGCCAAATTTTCTCACAGGAAGAAGGGAATTACAAACGGTCAGAAATAGATGTTATTTTTCTGTGTCTGAGTGGTGTTCATTTTCAGAGGGTGAGAAGCCTGTAATGATTCGCTACAATTAACACCACGTCGGCTTCCTCTGTAGAGCATTAACATCTGTGCCTCTCTCTTTCTCCATCTCGTCTGCTCGAGATGAAAGCTGCATTTCGCTTCATGATAAATGAACATTTTGTCCCTGACTGTGTGCTTCCTCAATTCCTCTAATTAATCTGCTTGGTGGGTGTAAACATTAAACTCTATGCTCCTCTATCTTAGATTAATCTCTCTAGTCAAAGATTCTTCTGCACAGAGAGCGCGGGAGAGAGAAAAGGGTTCCCAGAGGGCAGACAAGGTCTTATGGATGTTCAAAGGGACCATTCATACAGTGTGCGCTCTGCTGTTTGAAAAAAAAAAAAAATAGAT